GTGTGTGTGTGTGTGTGTGTGTGTGTGTGTGTGTGCGTGTGTGTGCGCGTGTGTGTGTGTGTGTGTGTGTGTGTGTGTGTGTGTGTGTGTGTGTGTGTGTGTGTGTGTGTGTGTGTGTGTGTGTGTGTGTGTGTGTGTGTGTGTGTGTGTGTTTTTTGAACAAATGAAAAACAAGTCCAGTCGTCATAGAGTCCCTTTCAAACCAACAGGGGAAAATAAGACATATTCACTTCAGCACATGAAAGAATGTGGAAACAAAAGGATCTAAGTCAAGCGTCTTGATGCCAAAGGCCCGGGCCGCGTAGTTGGAGGTGATCACCTGAAGCCGTCCCACGACGGTTTCTTGGGCTATAGGGAAGATGGCAAGATGGGCTATGTTGCCCCCAGGTTCAAACGACAAAGAGATGATCCAAAGGCTTCAAGTCCGGTTCAGTTCAAAGAGAGCTGCAAGGGATGCAAACCCTGGACTCAAACACAAAGCTGATCCTTCACTTTTGGGAGGAACACCCCGCAAGAAAGACAGAAAAACGCAAAGGGAAAAGCAGTGGCCCCGGCGAACCACCGGACCAAACAGAGGGAAGAACAGGGAGACTCCCATTGACCGTCTTTCCTGGAGCACCTGCAGGGTTAGGCCGACCCCTCCAAGCAAGTTTAGACCGGCTCTTTTTCGAGCACTCAGTTGTCCCTTCGGGACCCAGAAATGAAAGGCGATCAGTTGTTTTTTGTTTTTTAATCTCACCTTTTGGGTTGCCACTGAAAATAAGGCAACCCCGATCAGATCCATTTCGATTTTTCGTTTCGGAGTGAGGGCAACCTCCGGTTGCTTTTCCCCCCACGGGGGGGGAGGGCTCCGGGGCCCATATGCCAATTCGACCCAAGCGGTGGTTCGTCCAAAACCCCGCGGCGAGCCCCGCCAGCATCTTCTGCTGCACCCCAAGAGGTTTGCCCTTGAGCTCTGGCTGGCGGATCTCCTGCATGGTGCAGCCGGTGACCCCCTGAGATTTTCGGTAGCGGCAGATGCTTCTGTCCATTTGCTTAAGTCCCCCGGAAAAACCTAAACTATGTCCAGTGATAAGTTCCTTTTACAACCAACCAAAAAAACAAAACATATTCTTAAGCAAATGGAAGAATTGAACCCTTTGTGGGTTGACCTTTCTGAGTCTTTCTTGGTGGGGAAAGTTGACCTTTTCTTGAGTCAAAAGGGGGAAAGGGTAGGAAGAAGGGTGCCAGTGATCCCAACAAACAAACACCTATCATAACCTATAAGTCAGAAGGGTGGATGAATGGCATGAATGCTAATTTCAGGGCCCGCTGGCGGCTGATGATGGCTCGGCTCCTTTTTCTGCGGCTTGGCTCAGGACTTGTTCAAGGAACCTAGCCTGAGATCTCCAAGCGCCTGTGAAGCAAAACTGTTCCGCTGCTCCGAAGGGGTCCCTAGCTTTGACGCAAAACTCGAAGCCTCAAAGGCATCAAACTTGCACTCAGGCAGCCCGCCCACCCCCCCCACCCTGCCCCCCCAACCAACGTCCTCGCACTGGGCGTAGAAGCAGTCCATGTCGATCGCCGCCACGCAGGCGCCCTGCGCCCCCGCCTTCAGCAGCTGCGGCGCCGAGCCGCTCGCGCCGCTCGCCGCGGCAGCGCTCAAACCCGGCGCAGGATCCGGATCCGTGGGGATCATGTGCGAAGTGAGGACGCTCATGGCCCATGGAGGCCAACGCCAGAAGCTTTGCAAGCCAAACCACCTCCCTGGATTTTGGGGAAAAAAGAAGTCTAGCAATGGTTTTGCATCATGGTTTTGCATCGCGGGAAGAAAGCCAAAGTGGAAGTGGCCAGGCGCGACCTAAACTGGAAAAATGAATAGGTTTCCCGGGTGAATGGCTTATAACCTTAAGCCAGTGGAACCCTTATCTCTAACCAGACTAATTAATCGATCAAAATCAAAAGGACGCCTTACGGACATGAGGAAACTCCACGCTGGCTTTGCAGGATGGTCACCTGACCCCGAAAGTTCACTTGATTCTGCCCGTACTTGAGATTTGGGACAGGGAAAAAAGCAGTTGTTGGAGGGTACTGGTGGTTGAAAGGGAGAACAAAAGTAAACGAAGGGTCCCCAAAAGGGCAAAAGCACAAAGATATACTTTTCGAGAGTGTCTTTGTCCCCCAACATATGCGATTTCCCCACATGGCAGGGGTTGGGCAACGGAGTGACTTGATAGCCTGATGGGTTCGTAACCAACTTTGAAAGCTCCTGAATGCTCAGCCTGGATCAACCTGACTTGTGGATATGGGAGTTGAACGCGTGAATCCCATCTGAGCCGAAGCTGCGGGCAGAAAGCCGTGCCGTTGTTGTTGGGCCACTGAGAGATGCCGACTTTTTTGTTTGAAGGTACCGGCAAAGTAACGTATCTTGTAGCCACTGGCGAATTGTTTTTGCGTGTGGTTCTTGCTTTTGTTTGGGCCGGGGAGTTGGCGTAATGTTAAAAGAAAACTGCCACGTCCGAATTCCCTGGGCTGCTCCCCTTCCATCCACTGCTAAACGTCTAACTTGTGGTTTAGCGGAAACTTGATTGACGTTGGAAGGGGAGCAAAAAATAAATTTTAGCAGTTAAGAGGGGATTTCCCACTAAACCACAATAAGCAAAAAAATGTTTCCTAACAACAACCATGGAAACACCACTCAACCAGCTAAAACCTTTAAACAAAAACCAAGGGGACTAGTTTAATTGTGGAAGCTACCACTAAACCAGCTAAAAACCACAAAAACAACACCTTGTGAAGTGGATGCTACCACACCAACTGGAAGCCTTTAAAACGCACCCTCACCGGATGGGCCGGGAGCCGCATCCGATTCGTCCTCCGGGGTGACGTCCAGGGCTTGCAGGGAATGGCCGCTGAGGGCGCACAAGCCCTCTGGGCTCAAAGACGTCCAGCCCACCTGCCAGCCTGGGCCACTGACGGGAAAGGCCCAGCCTTGAGACCCAGAAATTGGGGCGAAAGTGTGCGTGTGCGTGTGTGTTGCTTTTTCCGTTTTTTTTTTTTTTTTTTTTTGGGGGGTGTTTTGTTGGTTTTTTGGTGTGTTGTTTGCATATATATATATATAGAAAGTAACCTTTTGGGGCCATGACTGAACATGGTTGCCCAAAAGGGGAAACCAAAAGGTCACTTCGGGTCAATTCGCTTTGGGCGACTGAGAGAATGGGGGATGACTTTCCATTTTCGCATTACGAAACCCACCCCCAAATTGCAGGCCTCTCAAAAACAAACAAGCCCACTCCAGGAGTTGTCAAGGGAAATCCCTTTAGGAAACCTGTTCAAACAATGGCGCAAACATGTTTTTTTACAAGGGGCTTGTGGGATCCTCCACTTTCGAACTGAAGCAAAAAGCTCAAAGAGATGGAACAGAACCAACAAATCGAAAAGAACCTAATAACAGTCAAGGTAAAAGGTAAAAGGAACGGTGCCCTTATCCAGGTCATTCCCATGAGTACGCGTTCACGTTGAAGGTTTTTTTTGTTTAGCATGCCGATAGTTTTCCAGACGACTGGAGGGCCCCGTATTTATCATATGTACTTTAAGAAACACTACGAAAGGAGAAATCAGGCCGCCAAACGACATGGAACTCTGGGGCTCCGGGGCCCCCCAATTTCTTCCAGACCCCCCCCCCCCCCCGCCGAAAATAGAGGAACCATGAAATCCGGAATGCAAAATTAAGTAAGTCCCCACAAGAGGGAACCAAACCCACCGTTCGGCAAGCACCGTTTTCAACTCTGGCAAGGTCTGCGCCATCTGCAGGCCCCGTAGAGATAAACAAAGGCAAACAACACCTTCTTCCTTTTGATGGCCTCTTCAGCGTCCCAAATCCTATGCCACTACCATTTGCATCTGCCGGATCTTGCGGATGGGCTTGAACCATCAAATTCGGCTATGGAATCCCAAATTCGGAGGTGTTGGACCCCCAAGGGCAACTCACTCCAACCATTAGCCCAAAAGATGCTTAAAACAGGAGGCTGCTTCTCAAAAAAGAAACGGCCTCTTTGCAGCTGGCTTCTGGGAAGCCAAAAAAGAAGCAACCACCTTCTTTTCAGCTGGGGGAAACCAAAAGGAACCAACTCAGAAAACAGGGGTCACAGGATTTCCCCTTCAAAAGTTGCTCAATTCCCTGGTGGTGTTCGTTGAACCTCTCAGTCGCCCAGAGAGTGATGGGGAGCCCAAAAGGTTCACCTTTTGGGACCTTGACACCGACGTGGGGAGCCCAAAAGGTCCGATCAGTCGGTTTTGGACAAGGGACATGCAGGCTGCCAGTGGTTTTTCCACCACCACCACACCCCCCATGGGCCCCAAGGCTGAGCCGTTGACCCTCACTTTTTTTCTCCCCCAAACAGTTTACTGCGAGGGGTTCTAAATTCATGTAAAGCAACTGGCCTATTGCCAAGCCCCTCACCCCAGCTCACCCCGGGCCGAAAACCCCCCGCTTCTGCCCCGAGAGGCGGCGGCCGTCCTCCGCTCGGCCCAGGGCCTTGGGGGGATCCAGGCACCGCAGCGCTGCGGCGCCTCGCTCGTTACACGAGGCGCTGACGGCCCCGGCCCCCGGCCAAGCCCCCGGCCCCGGGGTTCCGAAAACCATTTGAATAATATGAAGTTGATTTTAAATACACAAGTCAATCAAATAAAATCAGAAGATACCATACATAGACGTCATTTTGCAACAAGTATTGCTACAAATAATTATATCACAAGCCACCCCCACGTTAAGTGGTAGCTTTTTCCAGAGAAATCACCACCAGTTTCTGACGTTGCTGGCACTAGATGAGCAGAATAAGCCAACCATATGCCCTAGCGAGGCCCGGCTTTCACACGAAAAATGCGCTGATCAGGGCTGGCCTCTGTTTTCGCTGGGAATGATTTATCTTTTAGGGGGGGAGGTTCGTCTAACTCGTAGGGGCCTCTGCGAGTAGCAGAACTTACCCCGATCCAAACCACCTAAGGGGGTACCTCATATTCTGAGAAAGACAGACACCAACTATTGACACTACATGTTGGCCCAAGTCTCTTGTAGGTGAGACTCATCCGAAGGTAACATGCCACAGAACCTTGGTAGAGAATCACCGGCCTTACCCAAGTTGGATTGGTGGCATACAGGTTCTACACATGAAAATTAAACAATGCAAGGCTCAATTTGAGTTGGCCCAAAAGGGCAATGCGCAAGATAGGGGAATACAGGGAGCCCGGCCTTGTTCACCCCTACCCAAAATATGGAGGAGGTGCTTTTGGTCTGGCGGAAGGTCCCCAAGGCGGCCGGAGTCCATATCACCTTTTTGCCTCAGCTTCCAGGCGCCCTCCCGCGTGGATCCCATCTGACAGAGGCAACGAACCCTAGAAGTCGAGGAAAAGAAGAGATTTAGGCTACAAAAGACTCCGTGGCCGGACGTCAATTCGACGCACTGGAGCATGTCACTGGAATATTGATGGATTTACCCCTGTGTCACAGTGGGCTAAAACCAGCGTCATAAGAGGGGTACATAACAGGGTTGGTCCTCTTAAGAGAATCAATGCCACACCCCGTGCTCAAGAACCCCCAACCCCGAAGCTGGTATTTTACTTTTCCATGTATGCACAGGGCGAAATGCCGCAGCTCAGCAACCTGAACATCAGGTCTGCCAAAAGATCTGTAGAAATCCCTACACGTCGCCCACGGAAATGCGCAACACACCTTCAGCGGAACCGATCATTGAAGCATGTGTTTTTGCGGCAAGATATGGATGTGTCTTTGGGGGGCTTGATTCAAGGGAAGCCAGTTTGCCGACAATATGGGCCAGGGTGTGTCTTTTTTCTTGAGGCTCCCATTTCGCAACACCTCAGACGCCATGGGAAACCATAGTGAATGATGTATATATATATATATAAATATATGCTCACCCCCCCCCCCCCAGGGCCTACCTTTGCACTTCAAAATGTACAAAACCCTCTGATTTTAAAAGACAGGGCGTGTGAGCATATATACGCAAGAAGTGTGCTGTTGCTGCATCAATTTTTTGTGGGTGATGTCATGCTGAGGCTACGTTGAGTTGAGAATCCTACGCCAATGCACAAACTAATGCCGGTTTGACGGTTTCCTGCACGGCAAGGGGTCAGAACTCTTTACGGGGGGTGGGGTACTGAAAGTCTTGCATGTTGGCTGTCACACCACTGCTAAAGACTTCCAAATCACCCCCCCTCCCCCCAAGACTTCCAGAACCAACCCCCCCCCCCCCATCCTTCAACGATACCATGAACACTTCGTAGGGTGTTGTTGCCTTGACGCGGGAAACTCGTCAAACACTCAATAAGGTTTATAAACTTTCCTGAAAGTTTATAAACCTTCTGTAGGCTTATTGCGTAGCGTGGAGACTGGTGCTTGGGGAAAAAAAAGGACACTCATTTGAGGCCTTGTTTGATGTGGTTTGGGCATGTGGTCCTAACAGGTTGATGATTGTGTGTGGGTGTGTCATCACTGCTGCACTGTTATATCAAAGGCTGTCCATTCGGTCCAAGGGAACACAATCTGAGCAACTGCTGCAAAACACTGTGTTTTACAGCATTTTGTTGGATCTCTAATCCCTTGAAATGTCCAATTTGAAACACCTGAAACCTAGAATCTGGAAAATGTTGGATTCTCCAAGCCTCATAATTTGGAGCCTGGAGTCCAACATATCCAAGTACACATTCCTTTCCAAATACGATTTTGATCCGAATTGAATTTGCATATTGAATAGAATTTAGTAAGCACATAGTTCACCACCATTCATAATTCACCATAATGTCTATATTAGATCAGAATTTGAACAGGAATACCTTTCCAAATAAGGAAAATATGATTGCAGTAGAATCCAAATATACTTTAATGCAGACAGAGTTCAATTAGCTTTTGAACATAATAATTTAATCAAGAATCCATCCCCAAATACAGCTTGAATTGGAATATAGCTTATTCTGGAAAGAAATCACTTGGCCTTTGCAATCAAATTTTAATAGTCTCTCATTCCCAAATATGATTTTGCTTAAATGTGGCTAAACAAATAAAGGGCACATATCCCCAGACTCCCAAACTTGGTTTGGAGATGTGTTTGGCATGTGCAGGTCTCAGAGCTTTCATTTTCAGGAGATTTTGTGCTTTTGGGTCTGTGCAGGTTGCAGAGCTCAAAGCTGCCAAAAACATCATTTTTTCAATGTTTTTCCCTTGGTGTACTCAAAACCACTGTAAAAACCAGTGATTCAATCAAAGCCAGGCTCGAATCTGAAAACGGAATCCGTTTTCGCTTTGCTGCCTTTCAAGCCTCAAATAATCAGACATTTGCTGTCACATAGAAGGTAAAAAACAACAAAAACACTGTATGTTACAGTGTTTTCAAGCATCTGCAAGAAAGAGGCACACAGAGTAGAGTTGACACCTTCAACTAGAAGAGTGCAAAGGTAGGCCCTGGGGGGGGGGGGTGACCAAATATATATATATATATATATATATATATATCTGCCGGGGAATCCTCGTTTTCCAGGGTTTGATTTCTTCGCTGCGACATGGACTCCGTCCCTCTGGCTTCCAGCCCTCGGCTTCGGAAGGAAGCGAGCCCAGCGAGACCACGAGCCACGAGCAGAGCCGGGCCTTCCACGCCGAAGACCCGGCCGATCTCCTCGATCCTTGGGAAATTTCTCGGATCTGCCTTGCTTTCTCTCACTTGGGAGTGGCTCAGAATTGAAGAAGGGTTACGCAGGTTTGAGTCTTTGCTTCCATCCAAGGCGCCATTTGTGGTACATGTTTTTGAGCCACCGCCACTTGGCCAGCCAGCCCAAAAAAAAGTGGTGAACACTTCTTTGGGCCACTAAAACAAAGGGAGAGCCAAGGAAGAAAGTGTAAAGTGTGTCCACGGGCTGGGTGAGTTCTGGGCTGTTCCAAATGAAGCGTTGGCCAATCCCAATCCATAATCCCTATTGGGAACCCGCTACAAAGAAGACCACTTTTGTAGCTAAAGGCAAGGATGAAGGATTGCCTTTGAAACAGCCCATAATCTTACCATAATTCCCAAACGGACGAACGAATCCGGGTCTCTGAGCACTGTGCGCGGAAGAAATGTTTGGGGAGTTTGGGGGTGGGCATTTTAAAAAAAAAAGCAACAACTTGCGTGTGTGCGTGTCTGTGTACCCGCATTAAGGGATCCCCAAGTAAAGGATCTTCACCATGGCTTTTGCTCGTTTTACCCCCGGATCGGTGCTCGCTGTAAAACAGGCAGAAGGATGTCTGTGGCCTTGCCGGCGGTTTGCGCGGTTTCTCCGAATGGGTGTGCCTTACAATAAGGGTACCCCAATAATGATGAATTTCCTCGGGCGTCCCTTTAAACTTGCTTTAAAAGGGTACCCTGAAAACAAGACACACCCAAATGGGTGCGGCAATCAAAAACGAAATCTGATTTCCCAATATTGGTTGTCCTGGCACGCGAATGGTTCCCAACCCCCGCTCTTCCAACCTCGCTTCCCGTGATGTGCTTCAAAATCAAATCACACGTGAGCTACAATCAAAACACGGTACCAACAAATGGTCTGTCCAGAATCCTGGTAAAATATAGTTCGGCCGCATTCAATGATCGAGATAACCCCCTAACCTCCAATTAGGATTTGATGGGGCCCCTCATCCAGGACAACAGCCAGAAAAACCCAGTAGGGTTCTGCTAACTTGGAGTACTTCCTAGAGATTTGTTGGAGATAGTCTCACCTTCTGCAGAAAAGGGGGACTCAGATTCCGATTCCAAGCCCCACGGTTTCCTCCAAAGGTCCCCAGAGCCCTATCTCCGCTGCAAGCCGAACCGAAGGAGAAGTGGGTTTTAGCGAACCATCGCTACCCAAAACCAGTTGACCATCAATCCAGACCCCTCCATTGGACCAGTCACCATGTTGCGCATCTGAAACACACTGTTCTGCATCCCCACCCCTGGAGGCGTGGCTCCTTAAAAAAGCGCGGGGTGGGGTGGGGTGGGGTGGGGTGGGGTGGGGTGGGGTGGGGTGGGGTGGGGTGGGGTGGGGTGGGGTGGGGTGGGGTGGGGTGGGGTGGGGTGGGGTGGGGTGGGGTGGGGTGGGGTGGGGTGGGGTGGGGTGGGGTGGGGTGGGGTGGGGTGGGGTGGGGGTGGGGGTGGGGGTGGGGGTGGGGGTGGGGGTGGGGGTGGGGGATGGTGCGGGGGCAACCTTTGACAATTGTTTCCAAAGTCAGGGCTTTCCTTCACTCCCAAGCCACTCACCCAAGTTGAAAAGGTACATGTGGGTGCGGGTGGCCCGTCTTTTTCTTAGGGTTCCCCATTTTTGTGGAGGATCTAGCTGGAAGCCAAAGGGACACCCAGGTCATCAGTTTGGAGGTTTTGGGCTGGGAGTGTCCCTGAAAGAAAACATACGGCACGCCCAAGTACGTCCCAGGCGCAGCGGGGGGTCCGAGGGCATTGGCAGCTCCTCGATGAGCTGCCGCAACAAAACGTACTGACCTCGCTCGGTGGCTCGGTGGCTCGCTCGCGGCTCGCCGGCGTGGGCGGCCGGCGCGGGCGCTTTCCCACGAAAACCGTTGCTAAAGACTCTCCCTCCACCCATTTGGATGGTGCGAGTTGTCGTTTGGTGAGATGTTCTGAAAGATTTAGGGATCCCTGGCCTTTTCCTTTCGGTGAGCCTCCGTGTCGGTCAGATGTGGTTAAAAAGCCTGGGAGGATTCCCAAGCAAATGATCTTTACCATGGTCAGGTCGTTTTACCCCCCGGATCGGTCGCTCTGAAATGGAGGAGGTTCTTCAGCTTCCCTTCAATTGGTGGTTAGCCCAGTGGTTTGGTGGTTGGGGGGGTGGTGACCCATTGGATGACCCGACTTTTGTCGACTACCTGAGGTGGGGAGCCGGTGGTGTTTGACATCTCTGAGTCTTGTTTTGCTTGGGACCCATTCAAGGCCGATAAACAAAAGTGGTTCCTCTAATAAAACAAGTAACTTAACACGTGATTGCCCTGGCGTGCAAGCGATCGTTTAGTAGAAACCGCTTGCGGTTGGACATCAAGGGTTGCTCCCTCGAGGTTCCTTCTGTTGAGGTCAAGCACAGGACAAACGCCAAACATCTGCGTGATGTCCTCTTTGTTTCACACCTGAGCCGTGGCAACACGGACACAAGAATTAACAACTTTTGGTCGGTTTGCACTTCCCCCAAACAAGTCGTTGCAAAAACAATACAGTACCAGCACCCAAGGATGTGCCATTTGCACCTGCAGTTCTTTTGCGTGGGCCATTTTCGGTAAAAATGGACCATCCTTTGGAGGGTGCACTGGCAATTGAAGCAACACAAAGGTAGCCGGCAAGAGAGACCCGCAATCCGTGTCTCATCTGCCCTTCAGGCCTAGGCACTTCCCTCCCTCCCCGCGATGAACGACCCTAATCTCACGCAGGCAGCAAGGCAGCATGCTGCATGCGAATCCCTCCCTCTATGCGAAAAAGGCGAAGAACTTCCCCGCCCGCTTCTCTCCGATTGGGGCGCCCGGCGCTGGGGTTCCCCCCGGAAGGTCCGCAACATAATGGCAAACCTGGGCGGGAGCCTCTGTGCTGTCCATTGGTTTTTTCACTGTGACTTTCCTAGCTTCTACCACAGGTTTCAGCTGTGGCGAACGGAAAGTTCGCCGTTAGAGACGCCGCCACGCTTTGCATCGCCCTGGGCCAAATCAAAACGCCAGTGCATGAAACAAGGTGAGGCAGCTTTTGTATGAGCGAGCTCAACTTGCCCCAAGCTGTTCGCACTCCAAACCGAGCATCTCGCGACTGCCTGTAAAACCTAACAAAACGGGATCTGAAACTGCATCCGAAGCCCTTCCCCCCCATCCAGCCCTTTCGGCTCCAGCGCCGGACCATTTGTCTGATGCTCGGCTCATCTCCGTCTCAAAAAGTGGCCGACGTCCGGCTGATTCACACATTACACCGACGTACGTCTGCTTTGCAACCACAGTTTTTAGAGTTGCTCTTGAAAAGCCATTTTCTTGACAAGACGGATCCCTGCAAAGTAGTTAAACAGAAAATGAACAGAAACAAACACAAAACACAAAAAAGAAAACCAACATCGAAAAAAACATGCGACACTCTGCCAAGAACGTTGGAGCACCCCCCCCCCCTCAACCTTGGCCACCCTTACCCCCCCCCCAACCCCGCCCCCATCGGAGCGAGCGGCTCGAGGTCCTGCGGCTCCAGCTGCAGCGACGGCAGCTGCGCCCAGAGCTTCTCGCAGATCGTCCGGTCCCCCGCCTCCGAGGCCTCCAGGTCCCCACGTCGCCGCGGCGCTTGCGATGCGCGCGGTGCTTGCGATGCTGGGCGCGGGGCAGGGGGAAGGGGAAGGGGGGGGGATGGCGGGAGTCCGCGGCTTGGGCTTTTGGGCGCGGAGGGGGGGGAAGAAAAAACCACCCCCCCACCCCCCCGCCCCCCCCAAAAGAAAAGGGCCGCAGGGAAGGAGGCGTTCGGGGGGGGGGAGGTGGGGACTGGTTTCTGCTGGGAGGGAGGCGTGGAAAGTGGCGCGTTTGTGCTTGTTGGCCTTGCGTTCTTGCTGGTTGGCCAGATCTGCAAGTCTCCGCATACCAGAGGAGGGATCCAATGAAGCTCCGCCTTGCAGAAAATCGCCGACCCACTGGGAAGCTCACGATCTTTGCCCACCCGAATGGCGCACCTCTTACCCCACATCAAGATGTTAGCCAATTTGCGAAGCATGGCACACCCCATCAACAAAAACGTGTTTATGTTGCTGCCTTGTCCGGCCGGTTCGTTCCCATGCCTTTTCACAGCTTCTACTTGTCTGAGCTGGATTGTGAACTAAGTTGCCCAAACAGTGCCCACAAACGCATGGCACACCACACTTCACATGGGCTACCATACTGCTAAGCCAATTTCTTCGTTCATAGCCACCCCTCAAGGTTTACAAGCAACAGTCTTCCACCAACGGCTGGAAGGCAATGATGCGCTCAACAAGCACTTCCTCCATGTTCCACACCGCGTTTTAGAAGAAGTGTCTAAAAAGAAAGAGCCCTTCGCAGGCCCAAAGTTTGTGGTTTTGCCATGGTTTCTTCTTTCTTCTTTCGTCTTTCTTCCTTCTTTCTTCTTCCTTTCTTCCTTCTTTCTTCTTCCTTTCTTCTTCCTTCTTTCTTCCTTCTTCTTTTTGAGGCCACAAGTCCTTTAAGAGCACCCAAAACGCTCCCGCTTCGGCCTGCAGCAGCACCGCGGACAAGGTGCGCAGGCGAGGCTTCACGCCTTTCGCCTGGCCGCACGGGGCACCGTTGACAAAGGCCGCAAGCCAAGGGTCCGAGCAAAGGACGAAAGCGGAGAAGACGGGGCTGATAGCAAACGGAACAAATTCTGCACGAAACAGAGCAAAGAGCGCACAAAAAACAAACAAACAGCAGGAAGCAAAACAAGCAGCAAAGAAATATAAACAAAACAAAAAATGGCAAAAGCACGAAACGAAGCAAACTAGACACAAAGAGTCAGTCACTTACCCACCCACCCAGCCAGGCCAAAAGCAGCCACATGTCAAGTAAAAAAAAACAAAGCATCCACCCCTCACTTCCTGAGTGCATTGGGAAAAGTCTGAGCTTCTTGTTTCCCAATAGAATTGTCGTTCACAAAAGTATGAAGTCAACAATCTGAGACAGTGAGACCCAGTTGATGACAACGCTTGCCAGGCTCATTCACTTCTTCGCCCCCGAACTTGGTTTGCATTGCCTCAGTGCGAGCCCCAGGCATGCCGTTGTGCCGGAAGCAAGGGCTGCTCACAAAAAGCGCTGTGCCCACGAGGGAAACCTCGCTCTTCACCAAGTCATGACCACATGTGGCCAACTCCCCCCCCTGGGTACCCTCCCACCAATTAACATGGAACCTGACGGGGGGGTTAAAAGGAACCCCGGTCAGGCTCCACGTTAATTGGTTGCAAGGTAAGAGTCAAAATCGCGCCTTCCACGTCGCATCCACACTTGGAAGCCATAGGAAATGCGCACCGCACACGTCGCACCAACGAAATTCCGCCCTTGGACAATCCCTCCATCCCTTAGCGAGGTCTCCGCTGGCCTTCCCAGCGGGAAAAAAGGGAGTCTCAAGCAAAAGACCTGAAGTCGCCAGTTGACGACTGGTGTCCCAATTTTGGGGGACCGAAATTGGAGCCCAATCTTTTTGTTGCGCCGGTTTGGCCCCTTTTTTAGAGCCCTTTGACAAAATCACTTCAAGATCATCTGGGAACGCAAATGTTGGTCTAAGTGTCTAGTTGCCAGGGATTGGTTTTGGCCACATTTAGGAGCACTCTTCATGAAACCAGTTAAAACTATATAAAAGGACATCCTCGTTAAAAGTCTTCTGACATCCGTCTCGCCCTCATGGCTCTGAATCTGAGTTTCTAAGGGGCCCTAAAATGGTGGTCTTCCCTTTAAGCTACCCATATCCCCCCAACTCACTTGCACAGAGTGCGCTGAAATAGACAAGGCGATCACCGTTCATCAACCTTTTTTCAACATATCGAAGAAAAAAAAAAAAACGGCTTAAGACCAACACGTTTCCCTATTAGGGTCGATTCGCGATTTGGCAACGCACGCTTCCATTTGCTTAAGCCCCCTGGAAAAAATACGAATAAGTCCAGTAGTCACAAATTCCCCTGAAAGCAAGTGATCCAACGGAAACCTCCCTGGGCATCCCTCGGCATCCGTCGCCTGCACCTCGGCCACCAGCCGCAGGGCGCGCTCTTGGGCGCCGCAGGCGCAGCAGACTCGGACCATGGAGGTCACCGCGCTCTCCTGGCGCGGGAAAAGAAGGTTTCCGGAGCGTCAACGCGTTGTGGATGGCTCGTCGCGTTCCTTCCCGGTTTTCCCTTAAAACCACCCCCCCCCCCTCCCGCAAAAAAAGAAAGAAAAGAAAAGTACCCTCAAACAGAGACACGCCCATGTTGTGGTTTGTTGATTTTTTGCAGCCCACTTATGCCAGCGTGCCATCTACTTTCACCCTGAGCAATTTCCTGCACGCGCCACTGAACCATCCAACTTGTTCTTTATGTCGAGTGATGTATCGCTCAAACCGACAGAGGAGATCTGCAAATCCAAGATGCCAAAGTCACCCGTTTCGGCGACGTCGATCTCTGCCATCTTGTTATTTGGGGTACCAAAAAGGGGTCCCTAATCTTGACAAGCCCCCCATATCTACAGTATATGATGGGTGTGTCTGTTTGAGGGTGCATGTTTGTTCGTGTTTTTGCCCCTGGAGAACCAATCGGAAGCCGAAAACAAAAAGACATGCAGATTGTTCGGTCAAGTACCCCGGAACCACGTAGCTGTTTCCCTTGCTCCCAAATTTCTGGTGGTGCTATCAATCCACATTGCCCTTTTGCATGCAAGGAAGCCTTGAAGTCAATGGAAACCAGTCTTCGACCCACCCAAAAGTTGACTTCTGTGTTGCAAAAATCGACAAAGTCAAGTAAGCCCAAAAGGCAAAAAGGGTCCTTTTGGGCCCCTTTTGCCCTTTCTTCCCCACCCCCCCCCCATTTTGGCTACAGAGAAGGCTTCTTCAGGGCACATCGTTCCACGTTCCCCGCCTGGGGCTTGCCGCCGTCCAGCTTCGAGCAGGACCTGGGCTTACAAAATCTCGCCTCAGTCATGGGTGTGGGTCGAGGGACCTCCAGGAAAACAGCCCCAACAGCCCCAACGGGTCTCCGAACCCTCCGGAAGCCTCCCTGAAAGCGTTTGACCAAAGAGCCCATAGCTTCCCAAGGCGGTTTTCTTTTGGTTTCCTTTCCAGCACTACGACCTCCTTTTTGGTATCTATGATGCTCGGGAGCAATGCCCCCCGCCGGCTCCGGGACTCTAGCTGCAACGGGCGTAAGTGTAGGCGTTTCAAGGCACTTGGCTGTCACGAAGTGGCAACTTAATCCTTGCAGGGTCGCAACATAGACGCGCATTGAGAACCCCAACACTCGACATCGGAAACGAACTGATCTCCGGATGTTTCAAACTGAAGATGAGCAGACCAAGGGAATGAAGTTCCAGGCCCGGATGTCCGGCGGCTTCGCATTCTACAAGAGCCAAAGGTTCAAACCCCCAGATGGGTTTACGGGTGGCTTCGGTTTAGAGCCGGGATTTCCCCCTTTGGCTTCAATTTACCTCGCACATGTCCACCAAAACTACCAAATTTTGAGGCCGCAAGAGGAAAAATAAGAAAAAACACGGAAATTGCCTGAGGTGCCGTTCGGGGGGGGGGAACCCGAAACACCTCGTTGCCCCCCTATTTGGCCCCAAAGGGCCCCAAAGCCCCCAGGGCCCCCAAAGCCCCCAGGGCCCCCAAAGCCCCCAGAGCCCCGGGCTCCAGGAGCCACTCGCCCTGCTGCACCGCCGCGCGCTTGCTCTTCGCATCGTTCGCCTCCGCCGCCTGCGCGCGCACGCGGTGGGATCTCTGACGCGATGCCCCTCTCCCCTTTCGATTTTCGAATCTTATTCTTGTATTCTCCTTTCGACTTGCTTAAGCTATGAATTTCTTCAGCCCAGAAGCCTTGTACAAAATGGAACCAAACAAAAGGGGGGCTAGAAAGGATGCATGGGTTGCGACCCACACCCAAATGACCTTTGTCGATGGGTAACACGGGGTTGAAGGGAAACCCGGGTTTCCAAATTGTTCAACCCCGTGTTCTGGGTCAGGGGGTACGCAGCCCCCGAATCTTCCCCTGCCTTCTGCGCTAGCACGCTGAGCGCCTGGAAGAAGAACGTGCGGGACTGCTCGCCTCAAAATCGAAAAAGCCGCAGAAACATCCTCCGCTGAGCTGATTTTCGCCGGGGCTGGCGCCCCTTCATCAACAACTGCAAGGATGATCTTGAGGATCACTCTGACTTATGGCTGAGGAAATGCAAAGCACTTGGGTGTGTCTTCTTTTGACGGTCGAGAAAACCCAAAATGGTGTGGGGTTTCCCTGCTCAAGAGCCCAAATGGAACGAGGGGTAGCCGAAACCAAATTACCTCATGAGGGAATCAGCTAGTCCCTTTAACAACAACTCCCAACATGAAACCTGGCTGGTTTCCGAAAAGAAGACGAGTCGGGGGTGTCTTCTTTTAAGGGTACCTGGTTGTTTGTGGTTCTGAAGGGAAACCAAAATGAAAACCCATTTGGATCCCTCTTTGCCCTGAAAGGGGATGTGCTTTGGGCTGTACTCTGCTCAAAGGAGCCCCCCCAAAAAAAAATGTAGGAACGGAAGCTCGTCTTGGAGACCCCTTTTTTTGGAACCTCGTCTATGCACCGAATCAGGGAAGTTCGCTCTGGTTAGAGAGACCTGGCAGCTGTAGCATCGGGAGCCCAAGCCAACACCAGAAACCAAAAAACAAAACAAAAACAAAAAAAAAAACACGAAACCAAACCCAAAAACAAACAAACAAACAAACAAACAAACAAACAACAAACAAACAAACAAACACAAAGAACGGAAACCCAAACCCCAAAAACAAAGAAACAAAGAAACAATGATCCAAAGATCAAAAAAAGGAAACCCCCAAAACCCAACCCAAAAGCCCGGGGTGGTTTTGCTCCATCCACCAACCAAACCGCCCAACCCTTCAGCATCTCTCGACTGGGCAGCCCGGGCTCTGCTGGGCCTCCTCGAGGATGCCCAGCACCTCGTTGCCCGAGGTCGGGTTCAGCCGAATTCCCTGCGGAGTGCCCTTGGTGGCTTAAGTGCAAGTGGTCGAAACCATGGGTTTCACAGGGCCTGTTATGGAAACCACGAGCATGTTGAAGTCATGGTTTTTTACAGGCCCCTTCTGGAAACCAACCACATGCTCAGAATTGGGGGGCTTCAACTTGGTTCCCTGCAGAAAAAATACCTGCGGTTCGATCCTCTGGAATCAGCTCTTTTGTTTGTTTTTTTGCTATTCATTTTCGCAACTGGTCGCTGCTATCCTTTAAGGGGCGCTGTCGACTGGGCAATTGGGCCTTTGGGGCACCCGCATTCACGTGATCCACGGTTCGGGTGTCCAACGCGAATGCCCACCACGGTTTGGGTACCCTGGTGGACCCCAGCCTGGCTGAGTGTTGGCCTCGCAAAATGGTCTTCGCACATTGGCTCACTTGCCCTGGGGACCGAAAGGAAAGAAAGGTGATCACCTGGGATATGGAGCCATCTGACTACATATGCACCAAATCTGACGAAACATATGCACCAAATCGGGGATACCAAAACGTCGCACCTCACTTGCCCATGAAAAAGCCTAAAAGAAATCAATTGTTGTCACCTTTTGATTGCCCTTTGCCAAGAAAAAGGGGGAAAACCCAATATGGCTATGGGTGACCCCGTACCCCCAGTGAACATCCCAATCCCAAAAAAAAAATCCCAATCCCCAAATGGGTGGTGAGAATTCGACCCACCAAAATGGGATCCGGATCCGAATCAAAACGGGTTTTGAACCCATGGCCAAACCAATCCGCCGTCGAACCCGAAGCCGGATGGGAAAACCAGCCAGATGGCCCTCGCCCGCCTCCGGCAGGTCCGCGGCATGCCGCAGCCGCTCCTCGTAGCCTCGGTTTTCGACGCGGGGAAAGGGCCGGCCGGCTTTCCCATCCGTCCCGGACAAAAGGGATGGAAGTGAGGAAACCAGTCTGACGTTTGTGGGTTTGGTGAATTCTTTGGCTTTTGTGGGTTTGGTGCTTTTTTTGGTTTGGTGCTTTGTGGGTTTGGTGCTTTTGTGGGAATGGCCTCACCAAAAGCTGTGAGCGATTTTGCGTTGGGCCAGGGAGAGTGGCAGAAGCCGCGAGACCCAAGTAGTGCGAAGCCCGCATCAGTCCCAGCTGATGAGCCACTTCAATTTTTGCAACCCACGCCATAAATTCGCTGAGAGCAAGGGACACCAAAGCAATGGGTGGTTTGGATTGGTGATTTGGGGATTTCAACTGCGGTTGTGGAAGGTTTGTCTGGGAAGCCACCGAAGCCATCCCTAACCTCCAAACCGTGCTCCAAACCAACAAACAAGGGGAAGCTGGAAACCGCAGTAAAGTCGACCCCACAATTTGCTTTCTTGGTGGATTCGTGCATGCCCCAACTGAAGGATACCCTCGCAAATGGGAAATCTCCCGGGGTCTCATTAGTCCCCTCCAAGTCAAACCTGAATCCATTAAACTTGAATCATGGGATGCAGACGTTGCCAGAATCTCAGCCAGCAAGTCTGCAACAAATGGCGAAGCAAATGGGGAGTTCAAACCCAGGAAGCTCAAGCCAAGTCTTAGAGTGTGGCTTGAGCTTGTCCTGAGGGGTCCTGGGCTCATTCAGCAAACCTATACAGCTATTCTGAGTTTGAATTCTCTGTTGGAAACTAGGGTGGGGGGTGGCGCCCAACTCATCAAGGGCACGAACCATCTTTTCAGGCCTCTAGTTGCCTAAAGAATCCAGAAATCAAAGCGTAACCTTTTGGCACCCCTTACACAACGGACCAAAGTGGAAAAACAAAAAACTTGCCAGGTGATTTCAGGTCGATTCGCTTGGGTTGCAACGATTCGCCTTTGAAGGTGCCCCAAAAAAAGTTTTCCCCAAGCGACTTGAGCAGCTTGAAGGCAACTGATCCACACCTTCAATGCCACGCGTGCAAAGGGATAGACAGTCTTCTTTGATCTGCGCAGCCCCCCCCCCCCGCAAAAAACAAAAAAAAACATAAAAAGACACGTGTGTGTGTGTGTGTTGCTTAGGGCACACCATGTTGGGGATTGCTTGAAAGGGAAACTGAAAGGAACCCACCACACACGCACGCAGACATGCCAAGAATCACAGCCGTGTGCCTCCCATTCCTTCCGAGCGGCCAGGATGAGAAGCACCAGACTTGTCAGCCTTTTTAGGCATCCTCGGCAGGGTGTTTCTGTTCGCGGCCCCACGATAAAGGCCGGGCGAGCAGCGGCTTGCAAACAAAAGCGAAGGTTAGAACGCCAAAACGACCAAAACAAAGCACAACCAAGCAAACGAACAAGCAACGAACAAGCAAGCAAGCAAACACAAGCAAGCAAGCAAGCAAGCAATCAAGCAAGCAAGCAAGCAAACAAGCAAGCAAGCAAGCAAACAAGCAAGCAAGCAAGCAAGTCAGCAAGCAAGCAAGCAAGCAAGCAAGCAAGCAAGCAAGCAAGCAAGCAAGCAAGCAAGCAAGCAAGCAAGCAAGCAAGCAAGCAAGCAAGCAAGCAAGCAAGCAAGCAAGCAAGACACTTATGTGCCACCAATAAAAGCTTGTAACACAGTATATGCCCTCTTTACACATGGTATACAACCACCTAAAGATTGCCTTGACAAAGTGGTGGAAAAGCCGCTTCTGGTTGATAGTTGAAGGCAAACCAAAAGGAAACCAGCAGCTTTGGCAAGTTTAACCAGCGCCTAGAAGCACCCGTTCAGGGTCCGCATCAATCCGGAGCTGACACCAAGAATGTTCGGGGACCTCGCCAGAAGCCTATTCGCTTGATGGGTTTCCCAATCAAATTCCCCAACAAAAACAAAACAATCTGCAGCAACCATCGCAACTGACCAAGTGGCCCGGATTTCCCCAAAAAGCAAAGGACCAATCATCAGGGGCCCTTTCACACCCTTCGGTGAGCTGCTTCATCTTCACTCAATTCGAATTCGCTATCCCCAGCTGAACGTCACAAGACGGCGAGCTCCCTCAGCGCCCTATGTTGGGCTACTACCCAAGCAATTCCCGTCCGAATGGAAATCCCATGGGCTATTGTAAACACCAGGGTCTGGTTGCCTAACCCTCCAGAAATTATAAAAGTCCCGTCTGTCAGCTTCCACGTATTGTCCTGACTTGCCCAAAGGGCAAGTAGGAATACCAGGTTCACCTACCAGGTTCGCTCGACGAAACATGGACCGAACTGGGGAACCCCCCCACCCCTCCCCCTTCTGGTAGGGATCTCCAGGCTCCTGGGAGTCCGAACAAACGGACACCGCCGCTTGGATGGTGACCATTTTTGGGGGGGTTGGCTGAACGAAGCGGATCCCAGGTCGATGTGGGACGACGGAGTTCTTGGAGGGGAGGGGCCAAAAGCCACTCTTCGTCCAACCGCCATGGGTTGGCAAGCTTTGTCCGGTCGTGTAAAGATTGCTGTCGTGGAAAAGCAAATCTTGAGAAAATACAGGTTCAGCGCTGGGGGTACAGTGACCCAACCGCCAGCCCAGGGGCTAACGGCACCTCGTTCTCCGCGGCGACGACTTCGCCACGAAGTCTCGATCCCATTCGAGCCGAAAGTGGCGAGAGCCCATGGGATAAATCCCGGCTGCGCGGAAAAAAGAAAAAAACTGTCCGAAGGCTTCGAACTTGGTTCGCTCTTGGGGTCTCTTCCAAAAACCAAACAACTCCCCATGTGACTCTTTTGTCCGGTGGGCTTTCTCAAGGCTGAAGGCCCCAATTCTTCGGCGGCCTGCGAGCCCAAAAGTGAAGACAGGATTCCTGGCGCTTGCAAACCCTCAGCGCAACTGAAGGGAAGCTGCTCGTAAAATTCAAGCAAAAGTTTGTTTTACAGTGAGTTCTGAAAATTCAAACTCCCACTGTGAGTTCTGTTTTTCGACCTTCCCTTGAAACTCAGCTTGTCCAATCAAACGCGAAGCCGGCAGCCGTTTTTTCCCTCTCTTGCGCACGTCCGCGGATTTGCCGCCGAGCCAGGCTCTACCGGTGCCTCTCTCGCAATGTGGCTCGGTCGCGCACTCCGACATTTCCACTTCCCCATATTTCCAAACAGGAACCCCCCAAGAGGAAACTCATGTCGGTATGGCCTTTCCAGGTGATGTCTTAGAAAATCCGCGCATGGTTCTTAAAGGGAAACCAAGAGATTCGTCTCCGGCCCCACTTCCGAGACGCACCAAAAAGAGTTTCAATCGGAACTCCCCGAACTGAGTGGCCTCTCCTGAATCCGCATCCAAATTAAAGGACATCACAAGGGAAGCCACGAAATCCAAGTGGCATGCTGAGTTGGACCATTGGCTGAGCACGAAAAATCACTTGGTTGCTGTTGAAAGTTGCTAAAAAAGCGAGCTTCACTTTTCGGGGGTTGAGTGAAAACCAGGGCTGTGGTTGGAATGGAACCCACTTCTGTGATACAACAGAAAGGGCTTCCCAAAGACGATTTTCTTCATATAAAGGGGGATTCCCAAAAGTATCACAGAAGTGGTTGGAGAAACCCCGAGTGATCCCACAACCCTGGTGAAAAAAAACCCTTGATTTCAACCAGCCGAAGTCTAAAGATCGAATCAACCCAACAGCGATCGCTCAGTGCTCGCACAAGCCCACCCGCCGGATGTTCCAGCTCTGCTTGTGGAACTTCCGCTCCTTCCGGTCAATAGAAAAGAATTCGTCTCTTTTTCAAGGAGTTGGTGCCCGTGGTCTTTCGGGAAAACACAAACCAACGGGGAACACCGTTCCATTTTGGGGGGGTCCAAGCTTCTGAGAGTTTTTGGGGACTACACCCTGGGACTACACCCTTGGGAAACGACCCCTAGAATGGTTCAAAATAAACACGGTTCTATCCGGACATGTGCCTAAATGGGGTCACTACCCAGTGGGTGTATTCCCAGGGTGTAATACAAAAACTCTTAGACCTTGGCAAAACGTGGGGTCGAGTCCGAGGATGTGTAAGGCTGGCCCGTGTACGGTATTTGCGTTGCCGACGATTTCCCGCTGCCGACCCTTTCCGTCCAAACCCTCATATGTGCCACGGTCAAAGCAGCCCTTTTCAGGGATGGTCATCCACCTCTTATTTAATGCGGTGTTTTAGACCATCAATGCAGGGTGCCGGCCGGCCGCACAGTACAGGCCCCCCACAGAAAGCATGACCGCGGCCCAGAAGAAGTTTCGCCCATGGCACAGATGGGGACTGGGCGTGGAACGGACGTGCGTTGCCGTTGCGATGAAACCCTATCCGATCTGCATTTCAAACCACCCGCTTTTTAAAACTGAAATGGGGTCCGATGCATGGGCTTTCTGGGCATGTAAGATCTGAGTACAACAACCACCCCTGTTCTTACTTGCCCGAAGGATCCGGAAATATCAAAGGTGATGCCTAAATATGGACAAAATCAGGGAAACCAACAGGCGAAAAGGTCAATTCGCTTTGGGCAACTAAGTATAGCAACCTCCCTTTTGCAACAATCTATGGAAGTGGACAGGGGCTTGGAGGATGCTAGTCTTCCAAAACCCGCCGATCGTCCACTTCCGAGACCCCAAGGGAAAGAGGGCATACGGGGAGGGGTGCGGGCCGTCAAAACCTGCATGTGCCATTCATTCCCTTTATATCCAGGGAAACTTTTAAGAGAAACTCAAGCCCCAGCGAAATCAATCAGGGCCCTTTTCGAAGTGGATTCTCCAGCAAATAGCTGTGCCATTTTGTGAGGGATCCCCCTTTTTGGGATGCTTCTGACGTGTGAAAAGCCCATTGCAACCGTTGTAAGCGGGTTTCTCTGCTTGAAGGGGCGATCGATTCGTGCTTTGTGGGTAACCAGGCTAACTAACCACTTACTATGTACAATGCCCCTTACGTGTATCCCCGCAAAAGGGGTCCTTCTTTGGTTGTTGTTTACCCGGCAAAAGAGGGGATTTGATCGTGTTTTTTTTGTTTGTTTGGAATTCGGACACCCCCCCCTCCCAAAATGGGTGGTCGTTTTGTCTCCTAACCAACTTACCCGGATAACTCTCCGTTCAATGAGCTATAACCAGGCGTGCTATCCAAGCACCCCGCCCCTTTAAGCAGAGAACCCTTGGACGAAACCGAGATCCTCCAGGTTTGAGAGAACCCCATATATTTGTCTGTCTGTTTTAGTAGAACCCTCCACCAAAAAGAAACGGTAAAAAAGTGGGCACCCCTACTTGATTGACGTTGGGGTTGGGGAGCAAAAAATAAATTTTAGCAGTTAAGAGGGGATTTCCCACCAAACCACAATAAGCAAAAATTGGCAAAATGGTTCCTAACGACAGCCATGGAAACACCACTCAACCAGCTAGAACCTTTAAACAAAAACCAAGGGGACTGGCTTCATGGTGGAAACTACCACCAAACCAGCCAAAAAAAAAACAACAACCAAAAAAAAACAACCTTGGGTTAGGAAAGCAACAAATGTCTCTAAGTTTTAGCAGTTTAGAGGTTGGATTCCCACCACTAAAAACCGCAAGAAAACAAGAACGACCGCCATGCCTAGACCCTCGTCACTCACCTCCATGAGCGCCAGCCGGTGCTGCAGCGCCCAGTCCCGAGACCGCAACTGCTGCCTCGCGAGCGAGGCGCGAGCCGCTCGCTCCGCTCGAGGCGCGAGCCGCTCGAGGCGGTTCGAGGCGGTTGGTGGTGGTTGGTGATGTTGGTGGTTTGGGCCTTTGGGCCTTTGGTTGGGCGCCGGAGCCCGGCGGGGGCCACGGGGGAAAACCAGCCCAAAATGCAACCAAAGAAGGCCCCCATTCTTTTTATTGTAAGGCTGCCCAAATCCGATGTTTGAGCCACACCCAGGTGTCCTCTTATTCTTGGAGGGCCCAAAAAACGGTGGCACCACACTGCCAAGTTCCTCTTGAACTTCCTCCAAGCAACTGTGCAAAAGCTGAGGGCCTGGGTTCCACAAAGGTTGCAACCCACCTTTTGGGAGGTCTTCCCTTGGACCTGGATTCGATTCCACAAAAGGGCGCCCCAGCGCATTTTGAGGCCCACTTGGAATCAACGCAGCTGAGCCCCCGGCTGCTCCGACACGTGCTGCGTGGAGATGATCCGAACCTCCCATCAGAGAGACGTAAGCTGGAGGAATCCGCAACCAGCCCGGCCCCATATAGAATCAAGCCCTGTGTATTTATGGGGGGTCGCTTGAAGCTGGTTGTCAGTTGTTAACCCCTCCCCCTGTTGATCAACCCCTGGTCATTTATTAGGGGGGTCTAGGTTTATCAGGGAATCAGACACCACTTTTGGAGGGGACACTTTCAGAAAAGAAAAAAGAAACTGGGGTTGATTAATATGATATATGGGGTCAGTAGGAATGCCGTGAGCATGCTTCAGCACCCAGGAAGAATAGTGTTGCGTTTCACTCCAGGAAAAAGGGGCCACCCTTTTTCCCCTTTTGGTCGGCTTGGGTCAGAGGAAGCCGTCCCACCTCAACCCCCACAGCGCCATCGTGGCATTTGAGGTGGAAAAAGCAAACCATAAGCCAGGTAGGAACATCTTACATGACTTTTGTACGCTTTGAAAACTCCTCGAGCACTCGGGCCCCTCTGGCACTCGAGAGAATCGTGGGCGAAATGAAGCTTCTCAAGTTGAGGCGCTGGCTTTCTTCTGCCAAGGGTTTGCACATCTGAAGGACTTGACAATGAAAGGCTAACCAGCAAATCAGGGACCCGGAAAAATGGTGATCACCTTTGGGAACCTTGACTAAACATGGGCCCAATCAGAGAAACCAAATGTTTAGAAAAGGACGATTTGCTTCGGGCAGAGCTGGGCTCAGTTCATGATTCACCTGGGAAACCGGGGAGAAAGAAAGCTAGTGATGCTCTCCGCCCCACAAAGTGACTCGTTGCTTCTGGTGTTGCCCAAACCCCGGGATCCCACCTGCTGGAAATCTAGGTCCCATGGGAACCCTTCGCTTTTGGAGAAAACACCCCAAATCATCGGAAGGGTTTTCCTTGTGAGACCCAACTACTATGGCCAACAGAGTTCGCGCGCGCATCAGAAACTCTATGGGCCTTGCATAAAAAAGCTTGTGGATGGGCCACAAAAAACCTTCTGTGGCACTGAAAAAGTCCAAACCCAAAAAGTACCTTACTAAAGTTCAGGAATATAGGAAGTGAGGGACCAACCATCGGTTCCGTCAATTTACCACCTCAACAGGCAAGCGCCGGTAGGGGACGCTTGACCATTCTTTCCAGGCATCCTTCTTCTCAAGAAACATCAAACACCCAGGGGAAACAGCGGTTCTTGGGGGAGCCAACCCCTAGCAAAGAATCGCCTTTGACCAGCCCGACCTTCTCCAAGAAAAATCAAAGTCAAACTCCACCCTGCCCAAAACATGAGCGACTTCTCACAAACAGGTTCCGTTCAGATGCTACGTGGCAATTTGTCCTTTGGCGCCAGCGATCAGAACCCATTTAATCGAACCTGTTAAACGGGTCTTAACCTCTCAGCTGTTCATTGCCCCTGGTAGAAAAAGTGGACGCTTTTTGGAGTTCATCATTTGCATTGGGGAAACCTCCCCCCCAACGAAAAAAGAAGGACAAAAATAAAACACCCCCCACCCTCCCCACCCCCCACCCCCACCCCAGAAAAAAGAAGGAAAAAACGGGAAAGCACGGGTACAACTGGACTGGAGGCGATCGCGCCTCCGGGTTCACGAGCCAAAACACCGCGATGCGCCGCGCGGAGGGCCCATCCCCAGCGTTCCGCAGCTCGCTGAGGCGGTGGACGTGGCTATTGGGCCAACTGGCCACGCGCCCCGCCGGCAAACCTCGGGCGATGAGCTTCGATCTTTAACTCGCGCACGTTGTGGGACGTGCTTTGGCACACAACCCGGGGTTCAAAGGATACGGCCAAAAACTGCCAAGGAGTTGGATCCTCTGAATCAGATGGCTTTTGGGTGGCTGGCATCCTTTGATACAGGCCTTAAGCCACCTGCATCCAAACAAAGCTCTTTCATAAGGGAAACATCGCTGAAGTGTGCCGCGGGGAGGGCGGCGGAGAAACCACCGATTGGCCCCTGGAGAGCCATCAGAGTCAAGCCGGACAGCTTTTTGGAATCTTGGCACCTTGACTAACTAGAGGCCAAATCAAAGAAACCAACAGGCAAGAACATGTCTATTCGCTTCGCAACCGAGTTTGCCACCAAAAACAAGGCGGTGGGGGAAACACGGCACTAGCCCTGGAACTGCAGAGTCGTTGGGTTCGGTCGGATCTTCAAGCCACATTCGGGCACTTAGCGAGGCAAACTCGCAATCGCAAATCACTGCGTTTTCAACTCGCTGTGGGTTAAAGGCAGGGAATCGCAAACGCAGCGATTTGAAATCGCTAGCTTTGAATCGCTGCTTAGGGGCTCTGATTGCGAAACGCAGAAAGCATTGGTTTTGACATTGCCTTGCTTTCTCTGCATGGGAAAGGGCCAAAAGTGACATCTAAAGCCACAAGCTTTTGCGTCTAAAGGGAACACTCCCAAACCCATTTTTCCAAGACGAAATTCGTTTCTAGAGCCTTGCCGCACCTGCCGCCTCTCTGTCTACCCAGCCAAACCACAATCACAAAAGCAAACATCGCTCCCAAGCCCATTTTGCCTTCCCCTGATGAAAATTGTTTTCTGCTTCGACACCCAACCATATCCAACCAAGCTATGCATATCCCCTCAAACTAACTACTATTCCCCAAATCGCTGCGATTCACCTTGGGCTTGCAGAAATCGCAAATCGCAATCGCACAAATCGCTGCGTTCCCGCCGCGCTAAGTTCGGGCATGGGTCAAAATTAAATCACCATGTTTGTGTTCGCAGGGAGTGCAGAGGGAAAACCACAAAAAACGAGAGGATGCCCAACCTGGGTAGAAACTGATCCGCAGCCACTCAGCCACGCAGCCACCCCCCCAGCCACTCAGCCACTTGGAGTGGCTGGGGCACTCAGCCAGTGGCTGGGCGGCTGAGTGGCTGACTGACTTGCGACTGGCAGAGTGAGTCGCAAGTGGCTGAGTGGCCCCTCAACATCGAAGGGTCCGTTTCGGACTGCAGGACCCTGAGTCACTGCATTTGGACAAACACGAAAACTGGCTTGCTTTGCAGCTGTCAGGACTAGGTTGAACTTGTACTTACTTTGGTGTTCCGACTTTGGCGGATGAAGGAACCTTTAAAAAAACTCGAGCTCATTGTGATTGAGCATGGTGTTTTTGTAGTTGAAGGCCCTGTACAGTTCGCGAACTGAGGGAGGGTTCTGCAGGAAGTGCAGTTTGCCGCAGCGTTACCACATCCCAGCTGCAGGTACGACAGCAGCACCTGTGGCGAGGCTTCAACGTAAGATGCGTCTTAGCGAGGCAGCAAACGCAACACATCACTTAGGGCAAATTGCAGCCCAGTCACAGCCTTCAGCAGCACAAGTCAGCTTAAGGTCGAAAGAACGGAGCGGGCGGCGATGCGCTGCAAATTACTTCATAATTTTACGCGCTCCCAAAACAGCAATCAGGCATTGTGGCACGACGTGAATGCTGAGGGGAAGTCACCATTCATGCAACACGACGTTCCCCAAAAGCGAGGCAAAAAGACACGGCACATCTTTCAAAATTGGGGCAGCCAGTTGCGGCTTTTCTTTTGTCTTTGGGTCTGCGCCCTTCCTCCGCAAGCTTTGGCAGGAAGATCTTCCTCGGTTAAAAAACAAATCGCAGCGGCCCTTGCTACCCCTGATCTTAGTCAAGCTTCAGCGAGCCATCCAAGACACCAACGTCCCGAACAGGATTGGACGGGTTGAGGTCGTGATGCCCGTCGCAGCATGTAGCCCAGGTGAAGGCAGCCAGCAAGGGCTGCATCATCTGAACAGCCAATCATGACGGGAACAGCGATATAAAGCTCAGACCTCGGCTGCCAACGCAGCTACAGGTCACAAAGGATCAAGGGCACAACCAAACAGCACGCTCCAGTGCGTGCGACACACCTTACAACTGTAAAAACATGGTCGCGTGGCTGCAAATGACAGCAGCAGCCGTGAGAGCTGCGCGCACTGCCTTTCATCTAGGTGTTCACAGTGCGTCCTCAGGCAATGCGCTACGTCATCAAGAGCGTGCTCTCGCTTGTTCTCAGAAGGAAGTGGGATCCATTTTCTTTCAAAATGTCCAACTGGCCACTAGAGGGCTAGAAATGCTACAATAACAGTTGAGTTGTCGAATATTCCGATCCAAGTCCTTCCGCGCGCTTTTGTTATTCTAGCGGGTAGCAGTTGCTGAAAGTTAGTCAGGGCTGTATGAAGTTTAACTAGTATTGGTTTAGTAGTGGGTCAATCAAAACCAAAAGGGGAAACATTTAATCATAGGGCGATTACGGACAGTCCCTGGCACGTCTCTTTGGGCGGCGGCGCGCAGGTCTCAAAAAGTTTGACCTCAGCGCAAACGCCACAGGACCACCCCTGCAGAATTGGCCCAACATGGCTGAGAAATACTCTGCCCTGCCAGTTTCACATGACATCCAGCTAGCGAGTGCAGGAAGCACAGACACACACATATACGGCTCTAGGCTGCAAGGTGCTATCATTGCCATGTGCAAGAATAGGCATCTTCAGCACGCATTGCACACGTGATCTACAAACTTAAGAGTAGGTCAAGGGGCAGAGATTGTGTTGATCCAGCTTCACCTTGCTCGCGCAGCACTTTCTCTCTTTTCTTGTCCCCAACACGCATCAAGCATTCCAGCCAATCCAACTCAGGAAGCCGAAGTCCAACCAAGCCGCTTCATTGGGCTGCTCGGAAGCCTTGGAGGCTAAAGCCGATCGACTGGTGGACAGCAAAACTGCATTTTCGCGTCAGAAGGCAAGGGCGCAAACACGCGCGAGCGCGCACAGAGACACACATTGCTTCAGCTTCTTGGTCAAGCTGCAAAGCATAGTCCACACTAAAAACACCATGTCGAAAACAAACAACAAGCTGACCTGCAAGTTCAAGCCACGACGAAAACATGGCCAAGTGATACAGCATGGGCACAATGAGGCCAGAACCGCATAAACAAATAGGACAACGCAGAAAAGCAACCCAGAACCCCATGGCTTTGCACGAAGGCTGGCAGTGGCAAGAGGCAAAATTTAGGCGCCAAATGTGACGCAGAAGGGTTCACCGCCATAAATCCCATAGGAAGCTTGACAAGAACCTCAATTTCATTACTGAGTTGAAGTCAGCAGGTTAAGGCGGGCAACGAAGCAAGCCGCAACATGAACCAAACATGTTTCGCAAACGCAACGAGGCAAAGGTTGGGTGAAAGAACCCACGGGAAAAACCTGCTTAGTGGCGGCAGGCAAAGTGGATGATAACCTACTCGTCACGTGACATGAGCAAAGCAGGCCTCAAACAATTCTGCAAAGCAAAACGAGAATATGCATGCATGCATGCATGTGTTTGTGTATGTATGTATGTATGTACGTACGTACGTATGTATGTATGTATGTATGCATGTGTGTGTGTGTAATTATGTGTATATGTGTATGTATGTTACGTATGTGTATGCACACATATATATATATATATGTATATGTGCATGTGTATGTGCATGTGTATGTGTAGGTGTACGTGCGTATGTGTCTGTGTGCGTCTGTATTTGTGTATGCGTATGTATGTAAACATATAGACTGTAGACAAATATGCATACAAAAAAAAAAAAACGTGTGGGTAGATATGTGTGTATGCGTGTCAGTGTCAGTGCGTGTGTGTGTGTGTACATATGTGAACTTACGTGCAAATCTGTGTATATGTGTGCGTGTGCCTGCATGCATGCATATACGCACGTATGTCCGTGTTTATGTCTGTCTGGCATGTGTAGGCAGGGCGGGTGGAAACTGATCCGCAGCCACTCAGCCCCTCAGCCACTTGGAGTGGCTGAGTGGTAGTGGCTGCGTGGCTGAGTGGTAGTGGCTGGGTGGCTGAGTGGCTGTGAGCGGTAGTGGCTGAGTGGCTGAGGGGACTCAGTGGTCCAAATATAATACACGCAGGCAGCTGTCTGGCAGCCTAGGTCTCGAACAAGAGATCTCGCAAAGGGGCCCCTGTTCGGGGCAATTGAGCAGGTTAATATTGAAGCATTGTTTCGCAGTTCATTGCTCCCCTGACGTTCCTTGAATGTGGAAAAAAGACACTCTTACAAAGCGCCCTCTTCACAAAGGCGCCTTTTTCTTGGTTGTCAAACTTTGTGGTCAAAGTAAGATAAACGCGGGCAGATGTCCTTCATGTCAAAGCTGCGATGCCGAGCGTCAGGGGCTGAGCAGCTGCGTGGCAAGAAGACGAACTTCACAAGTTACCGTCTATTTAAAACCCTCCGTTTCAAGACAACAGCATGCCTTTGCGCTTTCGATTACTGAATGGGATTAGCAAGTTCAGCATGCCCCTTTGTGAAAGCGTCTCGTTCCACATTCAAGGGAGCCATGCACCAGTACAAAAAGGCACTTCGGCCTCAGCTCTTTTTGGACACTCAGCCGCTCTGACCCCCAGCCACTCAGTCACTCAGCCACTGTAACCCCCAGCCACTCAGCTACTCTGACCCCCAGCCACTCAGCCACTCAGCCACTCAAGCCACTCGAATTGGCTGAGTGGCTGAGTGGCTGCGATCGGGAAATCCACCAATACGCGTCCAACCTAAAAAGAATTGGTATGGGTCGTAACTAAGCAATTTGGAGACAGGTTTTAGTCCATGTTCATTTTGAGTACCGATTTCGACCCAGCCATTTGGCTACACCCCTCAGCTCCAGGTTGTGCTCAGGCCAGGGGCGAATGGGCTAAGGGGCTGAAGTCTGGAAATACAAACCCGGGAGCGTACCCAAGATACAGTTCGCGCAGAGTTGGAGGTTCTCGGTGTCAATATCTAAGTGATGGTTACTCACTCTGCGCATCTTTCAAGGGAAATTAAATTGCCCGAAACTGAACTCCCACCCCCCACCCCACCCCAAAAGCACTTGCCAAAGGTACTGTGGAAAATTTAGAGCCGTCAAAGCAGGAATTATAGTTTCTGAGCCTTAGTGGCTTAACCGGCCTTGTTTTGCTTCCTGAATCGGCCCTGCTGCATCGCCCGATTCTGGTCCACCCCACCTTCACCGCAATACCCCACCTCCGGCCCCAACCCACCCCACTCCACTCCACCTCCACCTCCACCGTTTCCACAAAAGAAAACAAGGGAAGGCCCCAGCCCGGCCGCGACGGACCGAGCCACGGACCCAAAGCCGCCGAAACCGAGGAGCTGAGGCGCCCAAGAGGCACCAGGCCCCGCTCCACCACCTGTCGCAATCGAGCGGAGAAAAAGGGGGGGGGGGGGGGGCATCTACAACAAAACGAAATTATCGGGTTCTCTCTTCTTCTCTCTCGCTCTCTCCCTCTCTCTCTCTCCCTCGCTCTTGCTCTCCCTCTCTCTCGCTCTCTCCCTCTCTCTCTCTCTCTCTCCGCCGCACCATTGGTAAGCCGTCCAGAGTGGGGTGCCAAAAGCCCATCTCAGGCCGATTCTTGGGCTGTGGGTCTTGATTTGGATTAACCAAGAAGGTGGGACCCGTGACCACGTGTGACCAGGGCGCTTGGCCCCTAACCTTTCAATTTGGTCCATCCAAATTCAGCTTCCCATTTGATTTGGTTTGATTTGGTGGTGTGGAGGTCCGGGGGCCGGTTCGCACCCACTCACAAGACAGGGGTCGCATCCAAATCCAAACCACCAACTAAGGGTGTCCTGACGAGTGGCTTGGTTTTGTTCCCCCGGATGCGAAGTTAACATGGTCAGCATTCAATTCCCTGGGACCCGAGGACAACTTCCAAACGCCCGTCCCTCTCGGTTTCCTGGGTTATTGTTTGCTATTGATCGAACGCTCCAAATGCAACATCCACACCCGGAAGACAATGGCCTACCCAAACCCCGGACATTCGAAGCCTGGATCCCCGCGGCCCCTTCCGGCACGGTCAATTTGTTTGCTCAAGACGGCGTGGGGAAAGTAGTGAGGTGTCACAGTCAAACTCTCGGATGAAACTCATCCTTGCAGCCTTCCTGGCTCCGTGTTTTCCCACTTCCGCAGATGGGGTCAAGATTTTCCACCCCTTGAGGTGGCCTCATGTGCCAGTTTATCACTTCAAAAGCAGAATAGTACCAAAACCCTCCTGAAGCCGCAAACCGCGACCCATGGCATAAACCACCAAACAGGGTTTGTTCAGGCCCAGGTTGGGTCACTCAAACCAACAAAAAGGACACCTATGGCCCGAAAAGGGTTACCTGCCCCTTCCCCTTCCCCACACCCCTCCGACTCCCCCTTCGCCGCGCCTCATCGAAGCCCTCCGGGCGCATCTGTGGGAAGTTCAGCGTCAGGGAGCTGGCCTGGCCGATTGGAATGCACCCGACTTCAACCATCCCTCCAAAAAAACTCTTATGAAACGAATATAAATAGGGCCCTCTTATATTTGAGGAACGTTCTCTAGTATTCATAGGGCTTCGGCCGGATCCGGCCTTTGCTTTGGCGAGCGCTGCGAGAGATGCGGCTGGGGGAGGGGGGGGGGGGGGGGGCAGGGAACCCTCTTCGAGCTGGTTGTGTGAAACAAAAGGATACCACAGTACCACATTTTGATGCAGGGAACGAGCATTGGAATGCGCCCGATTTAAGCCATTTGAAACCCCCCTCTTATGAAAGGAATAGGGCCCTACGAATAGGGCCCTCGAATATTTGTAAAATATTCCCAAGAAATCGCTGCGAGAGATGCAGCGAATCTTATGGTTTTGAGCCCAAAAGAGCCCTGATTAATCGTTGGGCGGTTTCTGTTAATGAGGGGGAGTCCCCTTTGCGAGCTTGAAGGTCTTGTCATTGTAAACAACATGTATCAGATATGCATTTGGGGGAAGCACATTTTTGGGGAAAACTTGAGGGGTTCAATAGTGACTTAGTATTGGCGGGTTTTAGGACAGACTAAGCAAGTACGAAGCAAGAAGGAAAGCCCCTTTGAGGAGACACGAACATATATTGAGTAGGTTTTTTGGGCAAGCCTTGTTGGCCCTCTACTTTAGTATTGGTGGGAATCTGGGAGGGAAAAGGGGAAATGTGCAATGGGGGGGGGGTACGAATCACGCGCTGACATTAATTACCTCCAAAACCCACGTGGGAGCTTCCATGTTAGTCCGTGAGAGGGTACCTGAAGTTGCATTTGAAACTAACATGGCACCTAACAGGGGGGTTCCCAAGAGAAAATTGATCTTCCAGGTACCCTCCCGCAGTTCCCCCCTGACCAAAATATTGGGCTTCTGGGTAGGTGTCAAAGGGGGGGAGGGGGCAAACAGATTGCTTTTAATCGGGAGAGAGGGTACCATGGCCCCTCTAGTGGCTTGAATCTCCACTAAACCAGGGCACCCCCCTATTAATACACTGGGGTTCTGTTTATTCCTGGGGTCTAAACATGCTGGTGCTCAGCAGGGAAGGGGGGATGCACCTGGGACTTAGGAAGCCACAAGTTGCATGGTTTAAAGTCCTATTGCCCAGACGGGGCCAGAAGTAAGAGGACGAGGACCGAAGGGGCTCCAGATTAATCAGGGGGGTCCTACAAAAAAACTTAGTTTTGGGGACTTGTCCAAACCTTGTCGACCTTGAAGGGGGGGTGAGGGAAACTACAACCAGTACGGATGCTTATTTATCCATAATATAAGCTGAGGCCCGCCCCTTCCCAGCCAATCTTCAGGTATGAGTTTTGGACATATGGAGGTCATGTACCAATTGTAGAAGGGGCACAATTCTGGCTTTTAAGCATATATTGGACCGAACAACCATTCCCCCACACCCACCCACCCAAACAGAATTGGCCGTCCGGGCTTACCCGCCCCTCTCCAGCGGAAAAAGCGCGCCTCGCTGCTGCTGTAGCCGCGCCGGAACTCCAAGTCCCCACCCTCCAGCGCCGCGTCCCTGCGCAGCACCACCTGGCGCCAAGGCGAGAGGCTCAGGGATCGCACAGATGGGCGCCCTCTCTTCCTCCCCGTTCTTTGGACTAGGTCCCCCAGATTTGAGAGGTTAGAATAAGTTGGTACCCACTTTTGTCTGTAGTCTGTTTTTGTTGGGGAACCCTCCCAACCAAAAACGGGGAGAGAAGGGCACTACTGGGGGACCTAGTGGGCTCCTGAAAGAATGCATCCAAACACCCACCTGCTTCATAAAGGTAGAATATGGTAAAATGGTGGACCCAAAATTTGACACGAAACAAAAAAGGAAACCGTTCACCTCGTTCTACCCTTGCGGATTCGTCTTCCAACAGCTCAGAGCAACGCTGATCTAAAGGCCAGTCGCTATCTATCCCCGCATTCCTTCAGAGGAATTGGTTCCGTGGACTCACTTGCGCCTCAGGTTGGTTTGAACAGCTTTGGCAAGGCAAACTTGGGTGTCTCCTTTTTGCCCCCCCCCCTGTTTCGGGCATTCCTGTAAAGGCCACTCCAAAAAAGGGGCAAGCTTCCGCATGGTTGAGGGGGTCCTGGGTGGGTCAGCATCCAAAGCCCCAAAGCCTCGCTCCTCGTGCGCTGCTTCCTTTTTCGTCAAAATGTCCAGTCGGGCCAGGGGAACTCCTGGTCCCGGGTCCGTCGTTTCATGTTGTCCAAAAAATTCGCGGGGGTACCTCATGGAAATTGGACACCTCCAACCACACGCTGGCAACCTTCGCGCCTGCTCTGGGTGATTCTGATCGAAAGGTGTCCGATTCCTTCTGTCGTGGGGCTTCACTGTTGGAGGGGCCCCCACCCTATGAATAGGACGGGCAACACGTTGCTCGCCTGCCACCGTTGCGAACACGCCCTATACATGAAGTCACCCCAGAGATCACCCCTCTGCCATGCTGGCTGGGCATGGCGATTCAACCCTTGTTAAAACCATTTGTTGAAACCTGAGCTTAAAACAGCTACTGCTTAAACCACCTCCTTTTTGGATTCCCGTTGACGGCCTTGTTTCACCTGGTGCAAACCACAATTTGAAAAAAAAAAAAAAAAAAAAAAAAACGGTCATTCCAATTCTCATGAAACCGTCCCTTGTGGTTTCCTTTCAGGGTTCATTCCCTGCACCTCTCGCACCAACATCTTGCCCTCACCGATCGCCACCCCCACCGATCGGCTCGACAGCCACCCCCGGCTCGGAGATGCGGAGAAGGAGACACGCCTCGGCAGTGGCCAGGATCTGCTCATGGCTCATGCCCTCCACGTGCCACACGCCCTCGTGGCAAAGTCCCGGGCCCACCTTTGTCGCTGCGATCGAAGTGCAGCCGGGTTAGGCTTGCGCAGGGCTTGGAATCAATCTCTTCCCCGAGCAAAAGGTCACAGAAGAAACTTCTGCTGGTCTAATCAAAAGCCAGTTGTTTGTTTCCAAACGGTCCTTTTGTGGGCCGACGGATTCGGTCGCGCCAAAGAACGATCGCAATGCGGCTAAAGAGCTCGTATGAGTGTAGCTCTTTTTGAGGATACCTGTTATTGGTGGTAAGGGAAGCCGGGGAAAAGGCGTTGCGCCATTTTGAAAGTGCGAGTCCTAAAAGACGAACCACACCCATATGGCATACTGGTGGCTCGTCTTGATGCTGATGTCACACCTTGTTGGTAGGCTTTAAAAGGAAACCGGAGGGAAAAAAAACCCAAAAAAAGAAAACACAACTCCATATAGTGATTCAGAGCCAACTCCATTGGGCATGGCTCAACCGCCCGCCTTTACCCGGGAATCGGATTGACTTGGCCGTTGGCTAGCCAAGTCCCGGGCTTGGGGGTGCGGAGGTTGGAAGGGAAGCCCCATTTGCCCTCCACAACAACTCGTTCAAATCCAAATCCAAACCGGGCTCCAAACCAGCAACTAAGGGTACCTGAATAGAAGTGAGGCCCCATGTCCAAAAGAGCCCTCCCTTCAACCTTTGAATGTCGTGGCTTCCGGCTCCACGATGTTGCTCTCTGAGGGCGCTTTTCTGCGCTTTTTGCCACAGGCCCAGAACGAACCTTTGGGAAATGGAGGGTTCTGTTGTCGGTCATAGGAAGGTCAAGGCCCTTCATGATCCTTTCATGGCTGCAGCGGGTTGCGAGTTTCCTCTGAAACCTTAGAACTATGTCCAATCGCGATAGATCCCACAGGTCAGCTTCCCTCCGCTCTGGATCGATATGCGGCCCTGACCAAGGTGCAAGATTGATTCAACGCCATAACAAGGGGAGGCATGGGAGCGTTGATGTTGACCACGGAGTAATAAACCGGGCTACTGCTGGGGGGGGTTCCCTCCAAAAGTGGTCTGAATGGAGGAAGAGTCCCAACCCGCCCCATTAATCAACCAGGGGTGAATTAATCCGGGAGTCCCATGATGGCCGTCCTGTGGACAAAATCATTCGAGTAGCGTTGTTTCCAACCCCCCCAAACCTAAGCTACCTGGAAGACAGGGTGTACACAGTACAGTACACTTTAGGTGCTGACTATATACTGGACGTGTCGCCGATGAAGTGGCAGCCATCTTATCTACACAGGGGGGGGGCAAAATCAGTATTACTTTGCCACAATCATGGCCTTAAAACACCCCACAACCCCATTCTATTTTTGTCCAAATCCCTGGCCATCTTGAGCCAAGAAGGGCCTGATAGTCCACGATCTTCACAATCACCTGCAGCTTCCGGCCCTTCAAACTCGCCGCCTCCAGTGCCTGGCAAGTGAAGCCAGCTACGTGCGCGTGTACCCGCATGTGCATGGGCGTGTGCATGTGTGCCCATGGGTGTGCGTTTGTGCATGCATGTGCAATGCATGTACATGTGCATATGTACGAACACGTTTGTACACGTAGATGTATGTATAGGGCGCAAATGTACGATGCACGCACGTGCACATGTAGCATACGCGCATGGACGCATGTATGTATGTACGCATGCATCTATGTACACATGCATGCACGCATGCCACTGCGCGAACTACAAACTCACCCGCCTTGCAAAAGCAAGGCCTTCATCATACATGTTCTCGTCATACCTCCAGGCGAGGTGCTTAAAACTAGCGGGTAGAACTGCTTGGAGCCGATGGGACGAGTGATAGGTGGCCTTGGATCATCATACCTGTCATGTCAGGCTCGCGTTTCCCGCGTTTGGGCTGCTTATAAAGGGAAATTCGGCCCTTGGGAAACCAAAGAAACCAACGTTGGAAACCCTGGAATGAGACACTGGCGTATCACTTCATCGCCTTCGAATCTTGGAGCTGCGGGAACCCGCCCGGGAACTGAAAAATCACATCGCCGCCTTCCCAGAATGGGCATGCGAAATTGTTCGTGGGCCCCTCAATGCATTGAGGGAAATTTTAGTGAATGCCCCGCTTCCAAAGTGAAATAGACTGCAGACTGCATGTGGTTGAGTTCCACCAAATATGGCTTCGGCTTTCCTCCAATAAAACCGAAGGGTTCTGAGCCTCAGACGCACCAGGTTCATTTTCATCCGGGGCCAATCTCCGTTGCTATGGGCCGAGCCTCGCTTAGCACCAGGCAAATGAGGCCCTGAACCCCCAGAACCGAACCTCCCGGCCTTCGGGTCGCCGGCGCTGCAATCGCTCTCATCCGGGTCCTCCTCCTAAAGCCAAAGGGGGGGGCCTGAAACATCGCTTAACAAGAGCCCTCCAGACTTGAGAGGCGTACAAGAAGGGTAATTACCCGAGGTGTTGTCCGTGTTTTTTCCCCCCCCCTTTTTCTGCAGGCGACTAAAAGTAGGGGAACCCTCCCCCCAGAAAAAGGGTGAGAAAGGGCACTACTGGGGGACCCAGGTTGCAGTAACATCCAGGCGATTCCATGCAAGCTCCCATGGTCCCAGGACCCCGAAATGGAAGACTCGGTTCCATT